TTTACTGTCAAATAATTGAATATTAAGAAAATTTGCTCTTCTGGCATTTTCTTTCAATATCCAATTCGGCTTTGTTTACTTGTGGTACACAAATGCCACCACCGCCAGGACGGCGCAATCTTATATTCTATCTTTCTTAAATGTAGTATGCCTTAAGTTTTTCCCTTACCGGTGTTTATGTCTTCAAATTGCACACAAATGACTAGTTAATCTGTTCCAGCCGCAAAACACAAAGGTGATGCTCTTCGATGCGTTAGATTTCCGTTTCCTCTACTTTAAGAATATTCCTACACTGGCGACACACTTTTTTGAAAATTCGCCTAAATTAATGCACTTATGTATATTTTTCTTAACTATCACTTATAACTTCTATCGCCAGCCAACTACAAGAGTTTGCAAAATTTCCACCTAAGTAAGCACATTCTCCATGGACTCCCATTTTGACGCGTACAATCAAGAACAGCTGAACACTCATTCACTAGCATTTTACACTGATCGCAAATGAAAATGCAAATTGCACACGCAAATACACAACTTGCTTTGCATAAAAGAATTTTTCTCAACAAACGCTAAAGTCCAACTTATTTTAGCAATATTGAAAATTTTCAATCCAACGCTTGCACTAATTTATCTAACTAGCCGGTGTTGCCATATCCTCTTGCTCACTGAACAGCTGTTATGTCTACTTCGCATATGTGCACATACACAGGAAATTCCGGTAGTAAAGGAAATGAAAATAATTACATCCATCCATACATACATACATATGTAAATATGTAAAGTACCCTCCTTTTGGCAATTTTTATGCTCCTTCTTTATTTTCTCTCGCCATCATCTTCCATATTCGCAGATATGCTAACTTGTCATAATTTCTAATTTCTGCTTTTTGGCGCATTTTTTACAGCTTCCGTTTTCGATATTGTTGTTGTTTGCTATGTAAATATATTTCCACTTCCTTCTAGTTGTACAGAAAAAGTGCCAACCGGAGTTAGATATTTGGGAGGCAGTAGCAGCGTTCAGTGTAAATTTTATATTTTAACCAAAGTGCTTAGTTTTGTGAATACACTTCAATATTCGCGTATAGCCATTCTATGGTTAAAGAATGTAATTTCGCAGCTAAAAAAGAAATGAAGCCGTTGGTCGCTAAAAATCGTTCTAGGCTCTTCAGTGAAAAGATATAAAGATTACGAAAAAAGTGATTAATTCAAAACCTCTTTAATAAAGTGGTGATGTGGGAAGAATGGGTATAGTGCATAACATAAAATGTGCCAGGCAGGATTGCTTCTTTGGATTCTTCGACTAATATCTACATATACATACATATGTATGTTATCAGATTATAACGCATCAAACCCAGCCATGGCCGCTTGTGAATCATTTATTAAACAAAGAAATTATGCACTTCAATACGTACTTAGGTAAGTGAATTAATTTATTACTTGAATATAAATAATGTATACAAAGATTGAATATGTATTTATTTTAATGTACTGCATATATGGAACAGTTTTTAATTAAATAAAGCATTTTACTATGCGTAGTACGCAAACAATTTATATAAAAAATGCACGTAAACTTATAATATTTAATTATATAAAATAACAAGTCATATATGTATGTATGTACAAATATTTAATATTTAGCGTTCAGTTACCCAATTAGCTTTAAAATTCGAAAAAAAAAATAGTCTTACCAAAGCGCATTAACATAGATTTAATCATGATAAAAACATAGCAAGGTAGAACCGTTCTCTCAATTTGTCGGCCATGATTTTTTCTTGAAGTTTGCCAACATTTTAAAATCATATAAAAGTGAAAATAAAAAATTGAAATTGTTCGAAATTGTTGTTGCTTGAGATTGAAAATGAAAATGTGTGTGTGAGTTTGTGAGTAAATTTAAAAATTAAATTGTTTGGAAACGTCAAGAATTTTAAAAGTGACTCTCAGCGGTTCTACCTTACTATATTTTTATCATGCATTTAATAGGGGCTTTACCAAAATATAAATTGTTGCTGTAAATTTTACAGTGATGTACCTAATGTGATGAGATTTATAGATTGACATATGGAGTATATGGTACATATGTATGTGTATATATAAATATTTTAATCGACCACAGTAGCTGATCCGAATGGGTCGCAGTTCTAATAATAATGCTAACAAACTCATAGTTTTTTTTCTCGGAAATTTTCACATATCGATAGTTCTCTGCAATAACGAACAAACTCAAAAAAAACCATACTATTACTGAACGTGGCACATGTCTCTAATCCTTGTATAATACATGACTTGTCCTTAGCCAACCTTTATGAATGCTTAATAAATGTTTAGTAAGCACTATACATGGATTATCCAAGGATTAGAGACATGTGCCACTATTCAGTAGTAAGAGTTTGTTTTTTTTTTGAGTTTTCAATTTTGTCGTTATTTCAGAGCACCATTGATGTATAAGTTTTATGGTGTTTTCGTACGAATACAAATACGTGTCTCTTTATTATTAAAGGAATGATTTATACAGTAAATACAATGTCGTATATGCGAAATATATATGTATACTACATACTTGAACACACATATTATAGTTGATATAGTGTATGTACATATGTATGTATACGTTTTTAGATTAATATAATACTTTATGTAACTCTGCAACACAGGAGCTCCAACAATGAATGCTGCAACATTGCATATAGTCGGCAAAAGCCTTTAGCCACTTTTTGTTTAATCTATCGCAAAGACCATATGACGTCTCATAACATTTAAATTCGTTATAATTTACTTTTTCAAACATGTGTATACTTTTATATAGTTGTATATATAAATATTTTACTGCATTTATATAACTTTGTTTTGAAATTCTATTTTACCACTTTTTTGTAAGTCATTTTTATTAAACAAATATGGCAGACAAAATTTTATGCATTTTTGAGTTTGAGTTAGGTTTGATTTTTTGATGCTACTACTCAAGTCAAGTTGGTATATTCGAATTTTAATATCGTCAGTTACCACCCACACTTGGTGCTAATTATTATCCAAATAGTTAAAGTTACTACTATTTACCAAGAATTATTCCCGCATTTATCTTTTATATATTCACGATCTTAGCCTTTCAGCATGCAACGGGTGTAGAATTCGCGATCGATAGCATCGTTCGCTATAAAATTGGACCACTTGAAAATCATTGCAAGAATTTCATGCGCCTGTAGATATTCCAATGCAATGCTTAGAAAACAGTTCCATGTGTAGAAGAAGTGCTGGTTGACATTGTCCACCGTTGTCACACATTCACAATTTACACAGCATAAACGTCCTTGTTGCAAGTCTACAAATTGTTCAAAACAACGCGTCCATGCCGCTAAACTCAGACATTTTCCAACCTCCATTAATAATTCTGGTTGTCGATAGCTTAAAATAATCGGCACAACTTTTTCAATATTATTCTCAGCCATATAGAATTTCGCCAATACATCAAGTAGTGCTGGTACCTGCATTAGCACATCAAAACATTTCACCTGCTCATTACGCGACCAATAATATCGCAGCAATACAGCACCCAATTCGTGAAAGACGCAAGTATTGTCGAAACGCAAAGGGAAGGCACAATTATCACAACGCACAATATCCGTTGAGGTGTTTAGAAGCACAAAACCCTCTGCTATAAAGTCGCGCGTATAATCGTCCATTTCCCAAATAAGCTCTGTGTTCAGGTAATTAAAGTACATCTCGTAACAGTTTTTGCGTGATTGTTCCACACTGTCGCCATGCTCTTGCATTACCTTTTCCAACTTACCTAGCAGATCAATCAACTCACTCGCCGAGTATTCGTCGAATAGTGAGCGATATCGTTCTACAAAATTAATATTGCTTATTTTAGCACTTTTGCAAATTAAATATAAATTATAAATAGTCTTCTCCTCAGCACTTATGTGCTGTCCGTTACCGGGAGCATTTTTTTTAGCATCTATGAATTGCTGAGTTTTCTTCGTACGGCAAACAATCTCTTCATCTTTTTCATACATCGCTTTAATATCGTTAAATGGTATGGAACGTTCGTTAGATGGTATGAGCTCCCGCACTAGTTTCTTCTGCTCATCAGCGAAAATATTGAACTTATATTTAATAATATTTTTACCAAATTTACCGGTAACGGTTAGAAGCGCATCCTTGAAATGTCTTTCGCTTCCCTTTGTGGGCTTGATATTTTCGCAAAAGGCATTCTCTAGAACGTAAACTTCTTTGGCCGGTGGTGGATGATTATTATTTGGCACGTACTGGAAGCCAATAGCACCAACACTTGCACTGCGCTCCGTCGCACCTGAGCTACTGCCGGAGCTGTTGTTGTCACCAATGGCTGAGCAGAAAAATGAGATGGATAAGTATAAACTCTAAGATACGCCTTCGTACTTATTAGCTTACCTTCACATTGCATAATGGCATCAAAAATTACTGAGAGATCATTTAGTAATTCGAATTCCTGACGATTAATTAAGAATTTCTTGATTTGATTGAGTATATTCAAGTCGTAATCCTCGCGTGCTTTATCAGCAAAATATTTGACATTTTTGCGCATCAAACAAGCGCACTCTAAAAGCTTTTCCTGACGCACCAGCGCACATGCATGAATCTGCCATAAAGAAAATTACATCATTTTAACATATTGTCATAAACTTCTAGTTATCACAACTTACTTTCAGCGGATTTAACTGCACACTATACAATGATCCAGTTTGTGTAAAAACCACAATTTCCTTTCCAACTACGCGGCAATCGACAATTCGCTCAAACTGATTGCACCACAAAACTACCGAGGATGTGCGCATGTCAAATACATACAAGCCAAATTCTGTGAATGCTAGCATAAAGTCCTTGTTTAGCATTTGAACTTTAGAGAATTGCAAATTTTGGGGTTGGTAGTCGAGCATTTCATCATTTTCTTCATACTTAGCAATCGTGTCTTCTTCCATGCCATGGAATTTATGTATTTTTACTGGTGGTATGGCTAAAGCAAACTTGAATTGATGCGTCTGCAAGACTTCGCCTTCGAAATCGACCTCCCAAATTCGTGAGCCAGGACGTGCGCAGTAAATGCGTGAAGGCTGGACAGCTTCATTTGTAGATATTCCAAAGCAAGCGCCGAAAGCTCCATCGCGTGGACGATTACCGATCTAACGAAGAACTTTATTTACTTGCTCACCTTCATTAAGTGTAATATGTAATCGCACATACCTGTTTATATTCCTCGTACTCAGTATTGCATAAAATGCATTTGGTACAGTTCGAAACAAGTAGTAGTGATTCAAAGTCATCAATTTGCACAATTGGTGATTCCAGGAACAATATAGGATGTACGCCCATATTAAGTAGACTTTTACCCTATAAATTGAGGGATGTACGTTTAGCACAAAAACTCTCATATATGTTTATAATCATAATTTTAATTACTCACAATAAAAGATGATAGTAAAACCAAGTTAACTTGACCACGAGTGTCACCATAGTAAAACTGTTTCTCATCCTGGGTCCAATGAATGCAAGTCACTTGCAGAGATTGATCGCTACTTAAATTCGTGTAGATAACTTGAGGGGTTGTGTGTGCAGAAAGATTTACTGCGTACACACATATCATGGAACGTTGTGTGGAGAATGCGACATACTTTTCATTAGCCGATATTGCTAAATGTGTCACCGGTCCATGCTTGTTGGGTATGAGGTGCAAAAATTTGCCAGTACACCGATTGAAGAGATACAATGAACCGGAAGATGCTCCGAAAACAACATAATTCGTAGAAATATCGAAGCAGGTGTACTGAAATTGATAAACATGCATATTACAAAGAAACTAAATAGTTTTTTTATGTATAATGACCCTCACCTTTATGCGATTACTGTGCTTCAGCGGCTCGTGGACCGCTTGTGAAAAATCAATAAAATTGGAAAGACAATATAGCTCCGTCATTATTTCCTCATGCCACAGAAGGTACAAATATGCAGATTTTATTTTTATTAAATGCCAAGTTATTTGGGTCTTTTTGGAAATACTTTTTTTTATTATAAACACAACATTCACCCACCAATTTTTATTCACCTTCACAATCAGAAGAAAGCAATCGCTCGATGAAAGTCGAAAGGTATCATGGTGATGACAGCTATTAGGCCGAATATACCACACACACACACACAGTAGGTCTGCGCATCACGGGTACTTTCACTGCGATGCGCAAACCGTCTCATAGTGGCTACGTTTCTTTATACATTTCAGTTAATCCCATTTCGCAACCAGAATAAACAGAATGCGTTTGAAATATACGTTAACATATCATCAGGAACGTTCTAAAGAATAAGTAAACAAAAAAGTTTATTCCAAACGTTCAGAATGNGAATAACGAAATGCAGGCAGTATATTTGGTCGCCTTCAAGTCTGCAAATACTGTCTCGCATGCGGTCTGTGTAAAATCTAAAAATTATGATTTTGGTCGACAATGCACAAACAGAGTGTGTTGTGTTATGTTGAAATTTCATCATATTTGTTTAGTTTTCATGGAGCGTAGATCTGCGCGGATAAGATAAACCATTTCTGTTAAATTGTTTAAAATGTTAAATTTGTTTCAAATATCTGTATGGTGTGCTGTGTTGTGTATTTGTCTTATAATAGTCGAATTTTCTTCATCATTTCAAGTATACCTTAGATATTAAAAAAAGCATGAAATTCCTTGATGGTGTGTCAGAGAGCTTTCCGCTTTCCTTGGTTGTTCATAGTTAATTTAGGAAATATCATGGCGATAAATCTGCCGTTTATTATATTACATCAAATATATCTTATCCGTTAATAGTAGGAGCCTAGCATTATGCAGAGCATTGCGACCCTGCATGTGCTTTCAATTGCTGCTTGCTGCTACTTTTATCACCGATTATTTGTTTTGTTATTATTTTCGCTTCCTTCTCGAATCCCTTTTCCATCATTTCATGTTGACTTTTTTTGGTGCAATTTGTTCAGCTTCGTTCACACCTGGTTTTAAGAGCATTTGCTAACTTTTATTGGATACTAGAGGTTTTTACCTTTCCACGGAGAGTCGTAAAACTGCAAATATATTTCGGGAATTCGTGCGCGGCTGCCAATAGAGGAGCTCTAAGAGTAACTCATACTAACGCTGTATCTATTTGCCTAACATGTCCTTTCATTTGAGCACTAAGGAGCGTTTACTATTGCTATTAGATGACATTGAATTAGTGGCAAAGTAAGTTCCAATAAGTTTTATAATCCAAATAAAGCTCCTTAATTTCTTTAAACCCTCACAGAGAGCTGATCGAAAACACAGTTGCACCAAAGCATCAGAAAATTTCAACAGCTGAACACACCGCGCTAGTGGATTTGCTGGTATCGAAAGATGAAGAGTTCAGAAAAATGTTAGAATTAGCTGATGAGCAAGCTAAAATCGAGCAAAAAATGGACGAGCTGCGTGCCAAAGTTGAAGTGCATGTAAGTGCAAGTGTTTCAGTCGCCAAATAGCTTACTGTTTCAATTATACCTTCTATAGGATCGGGAAATACAAAAGTTGCAAAAATCCCTAAAGGAAGCTGAACTTATTCTTTCTACCGCAATTTTTCAAGCACGTCAAAAATTGGCTAGTATTAATCAAGCAAAAAAGCGTCCTGTTTCCTCAGAGGAACTCATCAAATATGCTCATCGCATTAGTGCCGCGAATGCGGTGAGTGCACCATTGACTTGGTGCATCGGCGATGTGAGGCGTCCCTACCCAACCGATATCGAGATGCGTAACGGCTTTCTAGGCAAATCGGATTTGAACATAAATGGTGGCGGCGTGGCACATCAAAACAACGTGCCGGATGCACAACGGAGCATGGCGGAAGTGCCAAACGCATTTCAGAATCAATTCAATTGGAATAATCTCGGTGAGTTACACATGTCTATGGGCTCCACAGGCAATTCTGTAGCGCTGGAAACACGTGCACACAAAGAAGCATCCCAGGATGATGTCGAGGTCATGTCTACGGACAGTTCCAGCTCTAGTTCGAGTGATTCACAGTGAAAAGATTTGAACACAAACATTTAAATAGCTATTTCAGTATGTACTTTTTAAATAAAAAAAAAAATTATATAAAAAATACTTTTTATTGAAACTTAAAAAAATACAAACAATGTTAGCACACATCCTATCAGCTAAGAGTTTTGTACGCAGACTACTTGAGCTTACAGTTGGCTATTTCGACTTCGGCATAGGCATTAACTCGAAACCACCACTAGAACTTGACTTCTTGCACAACCACGCGTTGTTACCACCTTTGTTGGCTCCTCCTCTGCCTTTGCCGCTAGTGCTGGCAACAGTTTTTCGCCGTCCAGCTCTTGGTGAAGCAGTGCTGCCACCTCTAGCTTTTGACGACGCACGTTTTTTGGGGCTCTTGTTGCTCACTGCCCAACTTGTAGCCTTTTTAGCACGCTTAGCCCCACCACTGTTCCATGCACGTTTACGTTTACGACCACCACTGCTTTGCGAAGTACCCTGGGAGGCTGCCACCGATGCCCAACTGACTCCGTCATCCTCTTCAGAATCGTACGAATTAGTTGTTTGTACACGTGCACTTCCCGCTGTAGTAGTACTGGGTTTCTGCTGTTGCTGGTGCGCGTCTTCTAGATCCATCAGCAAACAAAGCTTTTCAGCAGCATAATTACGAGTAATTTCTAACATTTTACTGCCATATTTGTCAAAATTCGCTTTAGTCACATGCGGTATGCTCAACATATCACTCTCCGACTCAGGCAGTGTTTCAGACATTGCTTTTAATGCTTGCATATTCATTATACTAGCCATAGTGACGCTGCGTGCTGCAGCTATTGTTCGGCACAAATCCAAGAGGTCCGCATAGCAACGTTCGTAAATTGAACGTATTCGTGAGGCACCAGCTGAAGCAGCTGCACTCTGATTTGCGGCAATAGCAGTGCCACTGCTAAAGCCGGGCAATGTACGTTTCATACTTTCTTTACGTGAAACGGCGAAAATTAATGGTATGCTATCCTGCATTAACGCCTGGACTTTGGGTCCTAAATAAATATATGCCTGTGGAATATCATTCGAAAATATTAAGTCTTCGCGCAAAAAGCCCTCTAGAACCATTTTACGCAATAAGCGCTGTATATCCGATTTGTCCCAATCTTTGAAAATGCCGTGATGTGCAGTTTTATCGTGATGAAATTCCACGATGCGTTTGATCAGAGAACCTTTGAGCACATCAGCTACAAAATAAAAAAATAAATAAATAATGGAGGATATAAAAATTAAAAACACGTCGCATATACCAATATATAACAGGGTAAAGCGCGACCGGCCGCCACATATGTCTTTAATAGCACGTGCCACCTTTCGACACTGCTCCAAAACATTTATTTCCTGTAGAGAAAAGCAAAAGTGTATTAGATTGCAAAGTGAGTGTTTACAAAATAAATAAATGTAATTACACTAGCAAATTATTAAAAAATCGCATATATTAAATTAAAGTCCTCGATAACCTCTAAACCAACCATGTCCAGCGCTATCAGAACTCCATATGCAATATGTCTTTTATAAACTCTCGAATTTTTGTAAAAAGTGACTTCGAGCCTGGTCCTTTCATACTTTACCTGATAACTCTGCTTTTTAAGGCAATTATCACAGGCTGTTTCTCGTCGTTCCAGACATTGTTCGCTGGTGAAATGCTCGCCAAAGTAGTCCAGTTGTTGCGCACGCCGACAATCTGTGACGTTTTCACAGTATCCCACAATGCGATTCAAATTATCTAAATGTATCTTCTTCACTTCCAAACCCACAGTATTATCCACTAAAATAAAAAAAAAACATCTTTTCAACTGAGATCTATTTTCATTCCATGATGCCCACTTACAGTCCAACAATTTTTTCATCCTCATCATATCTGAATAATTGTAGTAAAGTATACAGTGGGCCACATCACCATCGCGTCCCGCTCTCCCTGCCTCCTGGTAATAGCCTTCAATAGCTTTTGGCAGAGAATAGTGTAGCACAAAACGTACATCAGGTTTATCAATGCCCATACCAAATGCTATTGTCGCACATATCACTCGCACTTTACCAGTGAGCCAGTCCTTTTGACGAGTCTCGCGGATCGCATCGGTCAACCCGGCATGATAAGCTAGTGATTTTATGCCAACAGCGTGCAATTTATTAGCTACATCCTCGCATTCCTTACGTGATAAACAGTAAATTATACCACTCCAGTTGGACGGACGTGAGTGTATAAAAGATTTTATATCATCCAAAGTGCTGATGCCACGCTTAGGCAATACCGAATACTTTAGATTACTACGATTAAAACTAGATAAGAACCACTTGGTGTGTGTTAAGTGCAATTGGCGGAGTATATCAATGCGCACGCGTGGAGTAGCTGTGGCAGTGAGCGCCATAGTGGGCACTTTGGGGAAACGTTTACGTAATATGCCAAGTCGCTTGTAATCTGGGCGAAAATCATGCCCCCACTGCGACACACAATGCGCCTCATCAATGACAAAACGACTAATGTGATTAGTGGCGTACAAATCATCAAGTGCGTCCTGGAATTGAGGAGAACTGGAGATTTTCTCCGGCGTCACATAAAGAATTTTGATACGTGGCGGCATGGTTTTTAAATCACAAAAGATGGCACGCACTTCCTGCAGAGTTTGAGTACCGGACAAACTTTTGGCATATATCTAACGAAAGAGTATTTAAATATAATGTACTATCAAATGCATAATGTTTCAATCTACTCACATCAAGCGATTCCAATTTATTAACCTGATCCAGAATCAGAGACTTTAAAGGACTGATGACAAGTGTCACGCCTTCAGTTAACAATGCCGGTAGCTGGTAACAAAGAGACTTTCCCCCACCGGTAGGCATCAGCACAAAACAGTCATGTCCCAACAAGGCCGCGTTGATCACCTGCAATTGATTGGGTCGAAAACTTTTCAGTCCAAAATTGCTCTTCAAAGCATCTTTGACAGCTTGCGAGTGTGGGTAATTATAACCATCGAATTCACCAGTTATGCCATCGTTATGTGTATCAGCATGGAAATTTCCAGCTACTTTCTGCGCAACTTTCACGGGAGATGGGCTGGATGCAATCGTTATAGGCGCATTTTGTCTTTGCATACTATTGAATTCTTTTACTGGAGATGGACTGGATGCGATCGCTATAGACGCATTACGCCTTCTCATACTTGCGGCACTCGTCGAAGGCATGTTGTAGTCTTCATCTTCGCTAAGCGTTATATTAATTGTTGGCACAATGGTATTTGTATTTGGGACGGACGATTTTGATACTGGTGAATCCAAAAGTACAGCCTGTGAGGCTGCTATTTCAAACTTCTCGGGATCATACACTTGCCAACCATCGTCGTCGGTTTGAGTTGACCATATCTGCAGTTCATCGGTTGTGACTGTATTCGCAGCAACGTTTTCTTTCTTAGAACTCGATTGATTCTTAGGTGTAGCTTGATCTTCGAAATCTTTATAAGCATAATTATTGTATTCTGATTTTCGTCCACGAAGCGAATCCTCTTGATCGTGTATATCTGCTATTAAAGCCTCCAAATCATCTTCGTCTTCTTCTGCCAGTTTAGTAGAATTTAGACTCGATATTTCTTTTGGATTGCTGCTCA